AAGGGCAACCTGCCCATGGCCGCCCGTCCATGACGTGTTTGCTGTCAAGGCTCTCCTCGAGCAGACTGTACCAGGACAGCGGCCTGCTGGCGGGTGCCTTGCACGGAGCCGTTGCCTTGGACGCGGTGCCCGAGACGCACTACTGCCGCGAGATGTGGAAGGCGACACGGGGGATCGGGCGGTTCGACGGCGACGGGTCGCAGTGGTGCACCGCTGCGCTCTCTGCGCTCGTGGGCATCCCGCTCGACACGAGACTTGAGGTACAGCTCGATCCTAGCCCCAAGGCGTCGTTGTCGCCACCCACCACTCCGCCAAAGTGAGTGTCCAGCACCACCCTCATCGGCCTCCCCTTCACCACGTACCCGTCCAGCCGAGGCGCAAGCGGCGCCAACCCTTCCGGCCCAGCCAGCCGATCCCGACGATGCACGGACATCCCCATCTCCGCCCACACCTGCCTCCGCCCGTGGATCCATGTTCCACGAACCCTTGAACGGCGCCACTGTCCGCTCATCCCCCTTCCTCTTTTCTTTAGCTGCTGCAGCTCGTCCAGCACCTCCTCGCCGCCGGCCCAGATACCCGCTCGACGTCGCTATCTCTTCCGCCACGTCCGGTCGTCGCCATCGGCAACATCACCTTCCTCCGCAACATGCTGCGCAAGGCGCTGCGCGAGGCCGTCCGCAACCAATACGCCCCGCATCTCTGTCCGTCAGCCCTAACACGATAACACACCGCGCTCGGATCCATCGGATGCCGTCCATACTCCTTCATCAAGCTCGCGCTCAGCTTGGCTCCATCGACCTCAAACCCATCCAGCGTCACCCTGCTCCACTCACCAACAGGCCACCGATCCCCTAGTCCCGCCCCATACGACCACATCTCCATAGCCCGCGACAGCCCCATCACCCGCGGATCGCCATCACACACCTCCACCCTCCCATCCAAGCCACTCGTTGTCGCTGTCCCTCGCTTCGTAACCCGTTCCGCCGCAGCAGCAGCGTACTCTGTCCGCTTGGCCTCCCGCTCGGCCTCGCTCAGCGCCAGCTCTTCGCCTGCTCTTCCACATCCCGCGAATCCACAGCAGGTATCTCCCCCTCCCATCGACTTTCGCTCACTTGCGTGTCCACATCACCATCCAGCGGGCTCCCGTTCAGCACAGACTGGACAAGCAGATGCGCCACAACCTCCAGCTTGCGCACAGCATACCAGCCAGAATGCAGCGACTTGTAGAACACATCCGTGAAATCAGGATGTATTCCCGCATTCTTGTCCAGCACCACCCTCATCGGCCTCCCCTCCACCAGATACTCGTCCAGCCGAGGCGCAAGCGACGCTACCCCTTCCGGCCCGGCCAGCCGATCCCCACGATGCACCGCCCTTCCCATCTCCGCCTGCACAGCTGCCTCTGTCCGCGGATCCACGTTCCACGAACCCTTGAACGGCGACACCGTCCGCCCATCCCCTTCCCCCTTTCTTCAGCTGTCGCATCTCGTCCAGCACCTCCTCGCCGCCGGTCGCCAACACAACCCAGATCGCCCTCACCTCGTCAACCGAGAACCACCCGGACAGCATCATCTTTCCCTCAGCCGACACCAACTTCCAGTTCAGTACCTCCTCCATCTCAGGATGCATCCCCCTCCTCCGCACTGGAGACGCTCACATGTCCTTCTCCAGCTTGACCAGCCTCGCGCCCACCACAGCCCCGCGCTTGCCCACAGGCACCTTCCTCGGCAACTCGCTCTACCGCCTCTGCTCGCTCATACAAGTCCGCGCAACACGTTTGGCCTTAATCTCTACATGAACACTAGCCATACGTCCGCTCTGCATGTATTGACGACGAGTATGTGAGTCGTTCTGCAGCATGCCTCTGTGCCGCCGCCGTCTCCCCACCCCCCGCACCCCCCCTCCGCCCCCCTCCCTCCCCCAACCACACCTCTCCCTCTATCCAGCTCCCCACCCCTCAACCTCCCCATGAGCGACCCATGGGATGCCAATTCCGCTCTGGCTTCTTTACAGTCCTCCCATGGCCTTGCCGGTCTCTCCCTCGCTCTGCTCCATGCTGCCGCCGAGCCGGCTGCGGGCGACCGCTCCCCTCCGCCAGCTGCAGCTGTCGTGCAAGCCGTGGTGAGCGCCGCACAATCGCATAGTACTGGCGACACAAGGCCTACTCTGGCTCTTGACCCTTTAGTATGGGCTGATCTTGCTCAAGACGTCCTCCGTGAGCCTGCCTTTCGCGACTCTCCACTCGAAGTTGTCGCCGCCACGGTGCGCCTGCTAGCGGCCAAGGTCGCGCCTCAGGCGGCGCTCACAACGCCACCGCCGGTCATTACGGCCACAACGACGCATGCAGAATCCGCACCACTCACAAGAGACACTCCGCCGCCGCTTGATCGCTCTAGCAAGCCGCAGGGTGGTCTACCAACCAAGCCGCCGCCGGTTGATCGCACCGACAAGCCGCCGCGCCGAACGTCAGGCCGCGCGCTTACCCACGGCAGCGCATCGCTTAAGGCCGCCCGCGGTGACGCACTTGCTGCTCGCGCGAAGAGCAAGCGTGTAGCGCCCAAGTCGCTTGCCGACCGCGCCCGCGCCCGCGCAAAGACCACAAAGCGCTCATCGGTCATGGTCTCATCGCTCTCGGTCACCCGCCGCAAGCTGCAGACAGCTCCGACGCCGACCTCGCCGGAGAGCCTTGGCGCCGCCCCGGCTTCGCCAACTTCGCCAACCTCGCCAACCTCGCTCAAGGTGCGGCCGAACCGCCCGGCGCCGCGGCCGCCGCCAGGTTCGCGGACTCGCCCGCGGACCGAGGCCTTTGCATACGCGGTGTCGCCAACAACCGACGGTGGCTCCCGGCCGCGGTACGACTCGATGGACTCGGTTGACGAGCTGGCGCTTGTTGTCGAGTCTGAGGTTGTGCGCTCCTTTGGCGACGAGCATCTGACCGAGGCCGATGCCATGACCCGCGTCGCTGCCCTCAGCGAACAGCACCCAAACCAACTTCGTGGCGAGCGGCGGACAACTGCGCGCGAGTTGGCCAACATTGTCGACGAGCTCGACATTGACATGCGGACGTGCGACTTTGAGCTCGATGCTTCGTTGCTGGACGTCGATGACGAGGCTGCCACTGGCGAAAGCGACGTCGACGACATGCCGGCGCTCGAGGCGCCGCCGCCGCTGCCAAAGACATCGTCGTCTCCGAGTCCAGCACCGCCCGCCGCGCAAGAGGGCCTCGGCGCTCGCATTGCTCGCATCCGTGCCACCCGCGCCACCCACTTGGACCTTGGAGTGCCCGAGTCGGTGCTGCTGCGGCGGAACACGGCGCCGCACGTCGGGCAAAATGTGATTGCGGCGCGGGCTGCTGCTGCTAGGGCGCTCCGCAAGCGGACCGGGCCAGACGCTCTCGAAGAGGCTGCTGAAGACTGTCGCCCGTCGGTCCCGCCGCCGGCTCCGCTGCCCGACGAGGGTGCCGAGGCTCTCTTCGCCGCTGACACCGCAGCCGAGCTCAGCTACGGCGCGGAGCAAGGCACTGTACGCAGCATCACTCTCTACGTGTAAAGTTTAGCAAGGCCTTGTCTCGATGAACGGGCCCAGGGCACCGCGCAGCTAGTGCCAGGCGGGCCGGGCGTGCGGGACGAGCGAGCCTGGTGCGGGGTAGGCGAACCAGGCTGATGACGGCCTGCGCGACGTGGCGTTCTTGGCGTACGCAAACTTGGAGCGCGGCTTCTGGCGCGGAAGCCGCGTCGAGAGCCGCGGGTTGACCCTGTGCGACTCGGCGCCGTTGTGGCCGATGTACTGGATGGTGTGGACAAACGGCGGCTCGCCGGCCAGTGCCTCGTCGGGCACCCTGCGGGTCCGGCCGGGCGCCGACTGCGGTCGTGACAGCTGCTGGACGCCGTATTGCTTGAGCGACTCGCGGATGCCATACGCAGCGCCAAAGCCCTTAGACAGTGCCCGCGGCTCGCCAGGCTGATGCTTGCGGTTGCGCGACACCGGCCGCGGCTGCTGCAGGTGAGCATCCGCTGCCGGCCGCCGCCGCCGCCGCCGCCCGCTCGATGCAGGCCGTCCGTACGGCGCAATGACCCGGGTCGTCGGCCGCGCACCCTCGCGGATCGCCTCGGCCACCACGTTGTCGGCCGCTGCAGCAGCAGCTACCAGCGCCTCGGCCTCGGTCTCGGCTGCCGCCGCATCCGCCGCCGTCGTCGCCTGCGCCACCTTAGCCTGCGGCTCCAGCCGCCGCACCGACGCCGTGAACGGGCCAATTCCCAGCGTCCGCTGACGGGCAGGCACCGGCGACGATGCCGAAGATGTCGGCGGCGCTGCAGCCGTCCACGCAAACCGGTTTTGGTTGGTCGGTGCACCCGGCGGCGGTGCGCCGACGTCGCCAGCAGCCGCACTCGCCGCCGTCGCCCTCAGCGCCTCTGCCCCGCTCCGCACCACTCGCGGGTGGTGTGTACCACCGCCACTACGTCTGCCACTGCTCATCCTTGCCCTTGTTGCACTTTCGTGGCAGAGTGACGTGTCGCACAACCTTCCCTTACCCTCCTCGTCGGGTCACCTGCCCAAATTGCCCGTTTGCTCGGCTGTCTGCTGCCCGTTGGTCTGTTGGCTCACGGGACACGGTTTTTCTACACCGCCGAGCTCCGCAAATATAGCCCCCGCATCAGCGATCTGCTTCACATCCACTCGCCGCACCTGCACAACAGCTTTCTGTCGTGCTCATCTATACCCTCGCCCAAATGCTCCGTCTATGCAATCTCATGTTTTACACCGGATCTTGTTCTCGTGCCATAGTAGGTGCAACTCAAAAATTTCTTTGATCAGTCCTGCACGGACACGCCTCAAGCCACCCGCCTCATCCTGACTCTCCTCGCTGCTCTCATCGCCTCGACATCAGTCCATCCCTACTTTCCTCCCCCCTCTCTTCTTCCCGTTGCGCTCCGATCCTCTCTACTCACCCCGATCCTACCGCAAACCCTCACACCAGCACCTGAACCTGACCTCACAACTACCGCTTGCCAAACCATCGTTGCCCCCCGTCGCCCCCCCCCCCCCCCCCCCCTCCCCCCTCTCTCTCCCCAAACACACACACTTCTCACCCCTTTGCCACTATGCAGACTCGCACGTGGGTTGTCCTCCTTGCTACCGCCGTAATTCTCCTCGCGAGCTTCACGCGTGTCAACGCTCAGTCGGACGACGACGAAGACTGTACGTCCCTCCCCTCCCCTCCCCTCCCCTCCCCCTCCCCCTCCCGTGCCCGGCTTCTCCACTCACGCCCTACCCTTTCCCGCCGCAGACGATATCGATGAGGATCTGTTCGAGCTCGAGGCTGATAATGGCGACGTTGGCGCAGGTGATGTCGTTGACGAGGCTCCGCTGCTGGATGGGCTCTGTGGATGCGGCGGCGACCCGGTGATGTCGGCCGAAGACCTGTGCTCTGCTGATCTTGTCGAGGCGCGCGAGAACACGCCGCTTACCACCCAGCTGTGGCAGACCATCTCTTCTGATGACATGGATGGCTTCTGTCGCTTTTGCGGAACCAGTGCGCGGCCTTTGTTGCTGCTGAAGACGGTCGCACAGCCCTGCACTGGGCCTACGAGTTTGGCCGGGCCGAGATGGTCCAGATCCTTGCCTGCGTCGGTGCCGACCAGGAGCTCGAGGACGCGTCGGGCAAGATCCCCGCCCGCCTCCGCCCGCGCGGTTTCAAGGTTGACCTCTAAACATATTCCGTCCTCTTCCCACTGGCTCTTTTACCTCAGCTATGACGACGACGACGACGACGCCGACGACGACGACGCCGACGACGACGATGCCGATGACGACGACGACCCGCCGTCATCACTCATCTTGCCGCCATCCTCGTCGTCCTCCTCTTCCTTGCCTTTTCTTTCCGGCTTGAAGCCGATGAAGGACACCACGGGCACCAAGGCTGCGGAGGAGCGCCCACTTGGATCCCGGGCGGAGGGCGGTACCTCTGCGGAAGGAGGCGGCAACGATCGAGCGCAACCGGGCGTTGCCCCAACGGCGGAGAACCCGTTCGGCAGCGGCGCGCTCTTCGGGCATAAGAATAGGCAGCTCGCCGTCGGTCTCAGGGTCATGCAGCTCGCCAGTAGTCCCGACCTTGTGGACAAGCGAAAAGTAGCCTTCGGACGCATCCGACGCCACGCCGGCGAGCTCGGAAGCGTCGTCCGAGTCTGATTCCGCGTCCAAGTCACTGTCGTCGTGCAGGATGATGATTGGCTGAGTCGAAGCACCAGTGTGGTTGTCCAAGCCGTCGTCCGAGTCAGAGACCGAGTGTGGAAGGCCCGACGAGTCCTTCGCAAGTTTGAGCATCTCGTGGACCTCGCCCCACTGCGAGTTGTGCAGTTCGAGCCAGGGCTTGGGTTGGTAGCTTTTGTCGATAAACGACTCGCGGTAGAGGCCTAGTCCCGGGACCGGAGCTTTGCCGGTGATGTTGGCTTCAAGACGCGCAAAGACGTGATGCCAGCCGGTGGCCTCGAGCCCGTGGGCCATCAGCGGGTTCTTCTCGCTGTGCACATCGTCTAGCCCGTCGCCATCAAAGGCCTTGGCCAAGAGCTCGGCCTCCAGCTCTGCGTGGGCCTCAGGCTCGCTCTCATCGCCGCTCTCGACCTCGGCCATCGACTCGCCGAGCTGGTTCGAGATCTCGTGCCATGCCGACTTGGCGACGGCCTTCCACGCCAGCTGCGCAATCTGCCCCCACCGCTGCGACGCCGACGGCCGCCACTCTGTCAGCTTCATCCACGTACCCTTGCGCACAATGGTCCGCCACAGCTCCTTGTAGTAGCCGACCGGCCGGTCTGGGAGCGACTCGACAGAGTTGCGCGCCCGCGGGTTGCGGTAGTGCTCGGCCAGCCGCGAGCTGTGCAGGACGAGCTCGAGCCGATCGCCGCTGCGGACGAGGTGCAGCGTCCGCTTGGTGACCCGGACCCGATCGTCGCCGTCGACCCGGACGAGGGCAAAGACGTCGCCGAGGGTGAGACTGGAGCTCGCGCCGCCGCCGTCGTCATCGGCGGCTAGCCCAGCCAGGAGCGTCGTCACCACCGCACCGTACGAGGCAAGCGCCGAATGCGGGAGCTCGACCTGTGAGTAAATGATCTCGCCGCTCAGCCGCGCCTTGACCCATACTGCATCAGGCGAGACCGTCACAGGCAGTGGGTTGGGCGCGTACCGCACACGGGCGAGCTCGTCCACCAGTCGGTACACAGCACGAAGCCGCTCACACTTGAGCCCGCCGTGGAACTTGCCGGCCGAGTGCGGAAAAGTACCGAGCAGACTCGCCAGGTACTCGGTGCCGACCACCGCCGAGTCGTCCGATGCCGACTCCCACTCGTCCCACTCCTCCCACACCTCCACGTATGACTCGTACGACGAGGAGCCTGACGCTCCATCCGCCACACTTGCGCTCGACGACGAGCCGTGCGACGACGAGCTGCTGCCGCCGCGCAAGTGTGAGCGCAACGAGCGGTCTGACGATGAGAACGAGCTGAGATGACCGCCGTCGGTCACCGAGTTGCGGTCCGACTCAAGCGACTGGGTCCGCGAGAGTGGCAGGCCAGAAGACTGCGGCCCGGCAGCCACCACCTTGACGCGGGAAAAGTCGATGTCTTCTGCAGCAAGCTCGTGCTCGACGCCCCACTGGTCGACCCACACGTAGTACTCCTCCCATCTGTGGGTCTTCAGCGTGGCTTTGACCTTGGCGCGGAGCTCGGGAGTGAGCTTTGCCAGATCGACGCCCTGCTCTACAAGCTGGGCCACGTGCTCTGGGTCGGCCTCTTCTTCTACGGCCGAGCGGAGTTTGGCGTAGGAGACCCACGCGTTGAGGCCGTCGATCCATTTGCGCTTATCGCTCACCGACAGCGCGACAAAGTACAGCTTGCGGCCGTCGTTCACTGCCACCTCCAGACAGCGCATCTGGTTCTTAAATGAGATGCCTTCGAGCTCGTGCGCTTCGCGCACAGCCTCGATCGAGACAAGTGCCACCTGCTCCATCGGATCGAACGCGTGCATGTTCTTGAATACCATCAGCGACGAGCCCTCGACCTTGACATGCCGCGTCGCCCACGACTTGCCAAGCCGCTTCTTCCGCTTCATCCGCAGATCTCCCTGAAGCGGCAGCGGCATGCTATCGTCCCCACCGACGGCACCCGTGCCGCCCCCCACTCCACCCGCCATGCTCGTTGCGGTGGCACCCAGGCCTGCCAGCGACGTCGTGCTCACCCCGCCATGCCGCATCGTCGCTACTTGCGGCGCCAGCGACGCCTTGCGCGTACCAGGCACAGCCACCGAGGAGTGTCGCATCAACGACGACGACCGGCTCCGACTCCGTCTGCTGCCCGGGCCGATGTTCCCCTGTGATCGCAATGATGCCAACCTCGACTCGGACCGAGATGGACCCGGCACCCGCGTCGGCTGTCGAACCACGACCACCACGCCCATGAGTGACAACGCCCTCCCTCCCTCCCTCCCTCCCTCCTCTCCCTCCTCTCCTACCACCTCCTACCACCTTCTACCTACCTCTGCTGCAGACATTCTCCTCTGCGCGAGTGTCATGGCCGTGCCCTGGCCTCCGCTCCCAAAGCCCAATGTGGTCTCCGCCCTCGGCAACCGCACTGCACCATCGCGAGTATGACGCCGATTGGTCCGAGCCCGCATACGATTCCTGAACTATGTCACAACACTCCCCCACAATGCGGTATGTATGGTATGTGTGCTCAGAGATAGGTGTATGCACATACATATTTATATATATATATACATGCGTGTGTGTGTGTGTGTGCCGCGAGTGCGTGTGTCCGTCCACGAAGTTGCCAGCTGCCGACATTGCTGCCAGCAGCGTCGAGCTTGCCTGCCTGCCCCACGATACCCCGCCGGGGCTGCCCGCCTCGAGCCACACTCACTCCCCATCTCATCATTCCCCACCTCGTCACCCGCCCACCCACCCACCCTCCACCTCTAACCTACATCAGCAGACTAGCCACCTCTCCCTCACCACGATCGCCAAGTACATCGTACACCTACCCGTGCCATTCCTGCGTCGATTCCTGCGTCGATTCCTGCGTCGCTTCACCAGATGACGTCACCGGTAGCACCCAATGGACCGGTCGCGAGGTCGACGTTCCCCATAGACAAGCACTTCACCCACTTTACTCACTCGGCCCAATGTCGAGTACACAGTACACCGGTGTGGTGTCTGCTCGGTTGTCTGCAAACAATGAAGAGACCGGGTCGTTTGACCCAACCTCGCTTGGCCTCCCTCCTGGCTTCCGTCTCACCGACTACGCAAAGCTCAAAGGCTGAGGTTGCAAGGTTTCCCAGGAAGATCTGCATGGTCTGCTCGAGAGTACGCCCCTCCCCTCCCCCCCCC